AATACAAAATATAAAGATTCCATTTTTTGGCTTTTTAGGACTTGCTTTGATGATCTAATTAGTATCAAGATAATAAGAGCATATTCTTTTGATAATAGTTATAATAGTATATAACAGAGAATAGTTATGTGTTACTTTTACAAAATCGCTTTTCAACTTCAATTTTACTGCTTACTCTTGAATGAACAAAATGAACAAAATCATTAAACCTTGAAAGTATTTGTGCTTAGTGTTATGCAGTTAAATATTGATGACATCGGTTGAGAGGCTTGGCTATAATTAGGATTTGTTTGGAGGACATATTCTTGACAAATGGTGGATGCGCTATTAATTAAAACATTACTATAAACCTTTCGTATTTTCTGTTATTAAAAATTTGAATCCATATTGAAGTGATTCCTTGTTCATTATAACTAAATGTTCCTAATGAATAAACTAACTAAATAGTCTAGCAAACTTGAAGTATTGCACAAATAACTAATAAAATTTTCTTTTTCAGTATGCAAATACGTCTGTCATAAGGAATGCGGCAATAAGGTAAGTTTATATTTTCACGGCATTATTATTGTTTAAGTTTTTTCTTTATTGTAATTATTGATTAAATGATTGTTGGTTATAATCGTATTAAATATGCTAACAGATCCGAGATTTCTATAAAATCAGCTAAGCATTCTTATTAACAGGATTCAATCAGGCAATATTGGAGGTGAAGGAGAAGGAATTTTGATAAGGTAGTAAAGGATTTTCCTTTAAAATACGCCTTTACAAAAAATGCATTACGTAGCAAAACGTAAAAAAATATCTGTGATTCTATCACTGAAAAATGTCATGCAAATTTTGAATTTAAAGATCTATTTATATAATTAATTTTACTTTTTAATACCAAGTTAGTTTTATTCAATCTAAAACATCTAACAATGATCTGAACAAATACTAGCACAAACGTGCGAGGTCGGGGTGCTGTAAATAAAGCAAGAAATCACCAAGAAAACTTTAAAAAAGATTTTTGTAATATTTCAAAATAAACAAACAAACAAAACTAACAATTTCAGCTATCACTGCATATAAACGTTTTATATGTACTCTAAAAAATGGTTTTGTATAATTACTTGGAAAGGAATAAAATAAATTGAAAAATTTTGATCGTGGTTGCCTGCTGAAAAAATGTCAAATGAGGTTTCACATATCCCCTGAACGAAAAAATAAAAACAAAAACAGAGGTCTCTTGTTTCACTGAATTTTAGAAACAAGATGATGTACAGGGCGATTCACTAATAATTGGACATATTTTAACTAGAGAATACTGAGCTTAAATTATTAAAATTTAACACAAATCACTTAGATAAAATGTGTTTTTTCTTCTTTTTTTTTGTTTGATTGTTTTTTATTGTTCTATTTTATTTATTTTTGTTAATAAGAATTAACTTTTCAGTTGCCTGGCCGATGCAATCCTACGCCTATGCAATCTAACGGACATAATTAATCAGTCCTTACCCATTGACATTAATTGAGAAAAAGTTTGTTATTTAATTTACTTATCTTATCAAGTATTGGAGAATCAGATAACAAGTCTGCCTGCGGGGAAGCATTTGAGAAGGGTTAAACAGCCACTTGTCCATATATTTATAATAAGTAGTAGCCCGAAATTTTTATTTAATATAATCTAGTAGAGTATACAGCGCCTACACTCACGCTTACTACGACAAGAATACGTCAAATAGTTTGAAAGTACCGACCAAAAGCAATTTTCAAGCGTTTAAATAAAATACCCTGTAAATAAGTTTAAATTTAAATATATTATGCTCATGAGTCTACAGTTAATTTTTTTTAATTATTAATGAATCACTCTGTATACAATAAGCTAGTCTACCAGAAAACTACTACACAAATCAAATAGGAATGTTGGTATTTCATTTAAACTATGACAAAGTACTTCAAATTTGTAAAAGAAATAAATAACTGTCATTTAATTCTTAAAACTGTTAAGTTTGTGACTACAGTTATGACTACGAATCAGAAAGCTAACTAAAAGAACTAGCAAATGTACCGGTTTCTTGAAAATTTAAAATGTTTGCTTTTAAAATGTGACTCAATTATATTCAAGAAGAATTTCTGTAACGTTTCCGGTGGACACGTGAAGAGAAGTTCTCTTGGCTGTTGTAAAATAAATCTGGAACTGCGACCGAGCGAACGAAAACAACACCAAATAGAATTCCGCGAAAAGTATCATAAAACCTGCGAGAATGGCTTTTTCAAGGTTAACGAGTCTAATAATTTTTTGGTTAATTTCAACCGGCCGTTTGGTCCGTTTTGTTTCGCTGGTTCGTAGCACTTAGTCCGGCTCTTTATGTGTCATTCAGCTGAGCCACAGTAATACAATGGTACAAGAACTAGAAACGTAATTTGTGTTTTGATATACTTTTGAGTCATTTCTCTCCAATAGTAATAATAGTTATCTTTTTATTTATTTTTGTCTTTTTTAACATTTGGTTTTCAATTCCTTAAACTTCTTACATGAAAGTGGGTTTGTTAAGCTTATTATCACCATTTGGGTATTGAAATTTCAAAAGTTTTACTTCATGTACAATTTGCCATTAAACTCTAGCACATTAAATTAGATGTTATTCGTACAAATTTGGCCGAAAATATTTTTAAAATTAATTAAATTTATAACGTTACACAATAATAATAGCCATAGAATTTTCAACGCCAAGTTTAATTACGAATATTGCATTCCGCTGAAACGATTCCAGCAATATTTCCTTTTTCGTGGTAATTTTTAGCTCCGTTTCGTAACGGACGGCGATAATTATTATCTGCCTTTGAGCTTCCAGACAATGCAAAATTGCTTGCTTTTATTATAGCAAATCTATTCCCTCACAATTAAGTAATTGTTCGGTTCCCTTAAATGACGAATTTATTGATGTAGCTATTAAATAATATAAGGGCTGTAAGCCTGAGGGGCCAGCTAACGGGTCTGATATTTCGTACAGAAGGGAGCGTGTCCTTGAATTTCATACACTGCACTTTACGCCATTTCCTTTCTACAACGATATCCACACACTAAACTCGACTTTTTACCAACTAGTAACGGTCATGAAGATTATTAAAGAGCGCAAGCTTTTATTCGTCCAAAGTGAGGTGTTGAATGACAGCTTTTATTGGTTGAAAGAGAAATTTAAATTGACTGGGACATGCATTTGAATTTGTTCGCTTCAAAAAATTTAGGTCACTCAAAAAATTTCAAATAATTAGAAAAAAATATATAACCGAAGTAGTAGTAGGCAGTTATTGTTAGTCTAGTTTCGACTATTTATGAAATAACGTAATTCGTAATTCTAATTATAAATTCGTGAGTGAGTAATTAACTGGTAATATATCCTAGCATTTTGGCTAGAATTGTAGCATTTATTCAAGATGGTCCAAGAAAATGGGAAACTGTATGCTAATGCTAATGAAATGTATACTAACGCTACGGGGAGACTGGCTTGGTTACTAGAAGACCACGATTCGGTCGAAAGAGGATCACCAACCAAAAGGATGATCAATTTTTGGTATCCGCAAGTTTGCATAATAGTACAACTTCTGCTGTTTTGGCTTCGAAATCAACTTCAAGTTAAAGGCCTCGTGCTAATGGACTGTCTTATCGAAGGTTGGCTACAGAGCCACCATTGCACCGACTGCATCGAATGGCAAGATTAACTTTTGCCTGAAATCACTAAGACTGGAATTATATGTGGAAGGTACTGTTTTCCGATGAATCCCGTTTTCGTCTCACTGGGTCAGATGGACGTCGGTGACTGTGGAGGAGACCAGGACTAAGATATGCCATAGATTGTATTAATGAGAGATTTGGTGGTGGTTCAGTTATGAAATATCAGTTCGGAAGAACGCACAGAGTTAGACTTTATACAGAATGGCTCTCTGATAGCTCACAGGTACATTACGGAAATACTGGATGATCACTATGGGTAAAGATTTTATGCACGATAATGCAAGTCCCCACACCGACAGAATTGTCAGTCAATATCTGGACGATTTGGGAACTACACGGTTTAATTGGCCAGCACTTAGTCCAGACATGAATTCCATGGAAAATATGTGGGATGAGATTCGACGACGTATTCGAAGACATACACCAACTCCAAGGAGTGTACCTAAAGCTGAGAGAGTTGCCGCAGGATTGGAACATGCCTCGTTACTCGTTTCTTTAGTTATAAATAAAAAGGAATTGGGCTTTGTTTATAATACACATGAAAACCAACATAAGATTTTCTGATTAAATGTGCAATTCAGTTAGCCAAATAGAGTAGGAATAGTATATTATGCAACAATTGTGGTAAACGGCATTTAAATCACGAGTTTATTTGGCACAAGCGGATCGCAGCGGAGCAAGTGATTAATAAACGAATGACTTAAAAAGTTTACCGAATGTTTTGCATACTATACTGCCGATAAACGTTTTTTCTCAAAAAATTGGTAATTTCTTGAGTGACCTAAATTATTTGCTTCCCAGTTTATTTATGTTTAATATGAGAAAAACACGTCCCTTCACCGCGTTCATCCGCGCGATGATGACGCTTTGCGATGGACTCGTTTAGAAACCAAAAGTATTAAACGAATAACATCGCTAGAAACCAGTAGCACAAATCGGCTCGCATCTGTTTCTCCGTTTAAATACGCAAAAAGAGTGCGCAATCCGCGCTTTAGCAGCGGGGAAATGTAAATTAATAAAATATACGCTTGAAATTATTTCAGACTTTTATTTACAACGGGCGAGCAGGCAGGCGGTCGTTCGACACGTTAAAGTAAACATTTAAGATCGGCATGGAAACGGATTTTAACCTACGACGACGGTACCGCACGTTCGTCAGTCGGTCGCTGCGTCGCCGTCGGTCGCTCTACGTTGCATCATCCGGTCCGGAACGCGATCGTTCTGGGTCTCGTTTCGCCGGCAATTTTTCATTTCGAGTGACGATGAGTTCTCGTTTTTTTTGATCGGCCCTCGTATGTGAACAAACCAAAAATTTCAAAATTTTTTCGGAATAATTATTATTATGACGTGGTATGAGAATTAGTATACTCTGAATCAGCTAAAATTTTAACGACGAGGCTGTGATTGTAGTTGATTTTTTTCTGCAGAGGTTAGGTCTTTGCAGGACCGTAGTCAGAATTATAATTGACTAATTTTAAATTATTTATGTATTTGCGAAATAGGTATCCAATTTTATAAACTAAGTGTAAGCAATAATGCATTGTGTGATATAACAATAGATTTGTTGTATATTGTGTGTCAGAAGATCGATGAAGTGAACACAGGATAAGGTACAATCAGATCAGTTATTAATAATGCAAAACACAAAAAAAATGTTTAAATTATAGTCAGGGCGAGTCTTTAACTTTGAATAAATTCAGTAAATCAAAAAGTGCTTTTTGTAAATATGTTTCCACACGTCGATTAGGACATGAAATTGTCTTCTTTTTAATGTAAATTCTACATAACCATTTAACATAAAAGTTGATTCATCAGAAAACAAGATGGTAGATAGATAAATGGACAACTTCATTTAGTGTTTTCCACAGCCAGTCATTATATATCTAGTAGATAGGTAAATGAAGAACTTCATTTAGTGTTTTCCATAGCCATTAATCATTAAAATTTCAATCTAGAGAATAAATAAAATTTTCAAATTTTGCACATCTGTCATCTTTAAAAAAATAGGGAAGGGATTTTCTGGAATTATTGCACATTAGATACTGTTTAAATTTCCCAAATTGACCAAGCGTAAGCGTTTTTGATAAATGGAACCTATGCTCCCCCAGAAAGTACTTATAAGAACACCCATAAATTGGACCCTTCTTATAGCAAAAATATTCCAATAAAATAAAACACTTAGCCACATCAAATACGGTTAGGCAAAGAGTCAGATTCAATTAAGTTTAGGTGCGGTAAATGAAAAGCTTTGACGTAATAAATATTAAAAATAACTTTAAACCTAATCAAATTTCAAATTGGAAACGTCATTTAAAAAAAATTAGCTGGACAGAGTATACATTTATATGATAAAGGCTAACAGATTATTTTTTCGATTATTTTATTCGTTTGACTAGAAGTTGGGTTTGGCAGTTTCCAAATTTATGAACAGCAATGAAACATTTTGGAGATATCATTAGAAGAAATTGTTTTATTGTTTTTTTTTTTAAGGAGAGACAGGAACTAATTCGCAATGCAATAAATCCACTCCGTGGGTGTCTTAGAAACGTATACTTAGCAAGGTCGCACGATTTGAAAATCTCTCTGCAAATGTGTTCTTTGCGATTGCTTGTCTGATCGTTTTCAAGATAATTACGGTATTCCAGAAAAACTGCTTATAACAACGACAGAGAGGTTCTGACATAAGGCAACAATTAAAAACAAAGAAAGAAATATTTAACTGCAAATATGCACTATGAAAAATATAACTACAAAGAATAATAGATAGTGGGCGTAGATGGATGTGGTTACAGTAGCACATTAAATGAATTATTGCTGACTAACCAAAACATTTTTATAACTTTTGGAATTGGTTCAGTTCTTTTAACTGCAAATACGTATCTTTTATTTGTAAACGTATTTTAGAAAATAGTTTTAGTATCTTTTAAAATCGGGGGCAGGTAATTTAAACGTTCGGGCCAAAAAAAAAATTGTGAACCCAACAAGAGATGTGAGACATGTGAATTTCAGAGAAACGTGAATGTAAACGTAATTTTGGACAGACAAGTCGAAAGTTCAGTCGAATTACTTTTTTAGGAAAGTATTAAATGGACTTTCAACGTTTTATGCAATTGCATCTTGGATTATATAATTTGAAGATTAAAATACAAATGATTTACAATTACCAGAGAGAGATAAGTAGGGGTTGCTGGAAAATTATCTTCAAATCATCAACAACTTCATGAATGTAAAATATAAAAAGGTGCCAATATCTTAGACATGTACTTATCAACGTCAGAGTCGGAGAAATTCAAACGAGGAAAACGTTATAAATATTTTAATGAAAATATTAAAGCGGCACTATTTGCACGCTCAATTTAAAATGATAAACAGGCGCGTTAATGAATTCATTAACTTTGAAATCATACGCTCGCCCTATTCGGAGTAATAAACAGGTATTGCCTACCTTTTAATGGGGCGGCAGCGTATGAATAAATGCGGATTATGTTGAGTTGATTCCCGAGGATGTATAAGTTTGTTTTATTGCAAGAAAAGTGCACATAATTCCATGCATATCTCGGAATTGATTATATTTAATACCTGCAGGCTTCGATGCTCACACTTCAAACCACATCTTTTGCTTTCTTTTGAGTTAATGATCCCGGTAATGCTTTTGGGCTGAATCGTTAATTGATAAAAAAGCAAAAGTGCGAAAGCATAGGTCGCACTTCGTTTGTTCTGAGAAATGAATCAATTAGTTATTAGCGCGCAGAGAGCTAGTGCGCAATGCCAGCAAATGATCTATTGTGCCACCGCGGATCTACATATTTGACTAAAGAGAAAGAAAAAATTAGGTCAAGCGAGACAAAGACTGCATTAAAGCGACGATACCTTTTTGTTTTATCCTAGAAATCAAACCGAAGTTATTTATTATGTACTTTTTTCGTGCCATACATGTTTTGATTTCTCATTTATTTGTGGATGTAGGTCACTCAACTCTTACTGACTAAATTATCCTGGTGTAGACGATACGGCATTTCTATATGGCCGTCGGTTTTGTTCTTCTGGGTATTTTTATGTGGTACATCACTCAAGTACCAAGACACCATGAACAACCCCTTCAACTCTATAAAAAACTGGTTCAAATTTCTAATTTTGATATATCCATAAATAGATTTGTGAATACCGATAATTTAACAGTCAGTAAATCTCAAAGTTAAAGAAATATTTTTTAAAATTTTATCAATAGTCTAAGAGTTTAAGATGAATTGGTCGATGCAACCCATTTAGAAACTCCGTTTTCTTTCCCAAATAGCCACACATTAAACTCAAAAAAATAACAAAAAATCGCTTTTAGTTAAAATTTTGGTTTCAACCAATAAGAAACTTGGCGCTTAAGCTACCAAGATGGCCGCTGACAGTTATTTAATTTTACAGTTTTGAATTTGGGCGCGGCATTTTTAATCAGTATTTTGTCAAAATATGGCCCACAGCCTATTAAATCTTAAGGGAAAAAGTTAAATGTGTTGAGATCCCTGTTTAGAAAGAAAATGCTACCATTCTACGGGATTTACCGCACTGTTTTATCTAATATATGATTTAGACAAGTAGATGATATGTGATATGAGTTGTATGCCCTTGTTGATTTGTGTATTTTTATTTTACTTTATTTTATTTATGGATTTTAATGGGCCATGATAATGGAAAGGCCCGATTCAGAAATGTTTTATTAGGTAAAAGAATTTATAAAAGAAAATTGTGGAAAGGTGGCAAATACCTACATACAATAAAAGCTTTTTGATAGTAGAGGCCTAACTTGATTCAATTGCAGTTTCTGCGCTTTTTTCAAATAAAAAACACCCAGAATATTTTAAATATTTAAACGACACGCCGAGTCGTTATGAAACTTCTAATTATAGAATTTATCACCTAATATAATCTTTAAAAGTTAGTATAGACTTTATGGCTAAGTACATACAATTTCTATTCGCATTTGTTTATTTTTGTTGCCGGTCGTACCTTTACTGAGCCTCAAAATAAACGTTTAAAAAAATGGTGTCGTAATTCGCCGACAGCGGCGTATAAAAATAATAATTATTAAAAGTGGCGATCCTTGTCTGGGCCGCGCGCGACATCGTCATAATAATATGCAAGTTTATACGACATGGCTGATTCTAGCGGCAAACGAACTCAAAATCTTAAGGTGCAAAGAAGGTTAAGCAAACACACAAGATAAAACAATGTCGAAATTGGATACGGGTACTGCTTTAATTCGAATTGCCGCGCGTAATCTCTACTTAAACACATAACAATGAGGTTGACTATCCACCGTCATTTGTTGATATTCGGCAAAAATTTTAAATAAAATCCGTAGCCATTTTTGTTCGCGATTCGCGTCAGTACGACATCTGTGTGTTTAAGCGAGTGATTAATCAGCGTCGCCTTGAAATGGGAAAGAAGAAAGTTTCTCTGAGCTCCGAACAACTGTGGAAAATTAGAGAGGTGCGTATCAACCAAAGATGGTGAAAATAAATAAGAACTAAAAGTTCAGATTTTCACGAAATTATATATTATGATATGACAATTATCATATCATAATATATAATTTCGTGAAAATCTGAACTTTTAGTTCTTATTTATTTTGATAAATGGATTTTCGTCAAGTAAAAGCCACCTCAGTTCAATCAAAGATGGTGACTTTGTGATCATCCCTGGTTTCTCAATTACGAACCAAGCTAACGGAGATAATTTGTTAATTATAATTATTTTGATGCAAGCTTTTTTTTTAATGCATTAGAAAGAGTAAGGTGTTTCAGATCTTTTCTTATGATTTTTGGATTTTAGAAATCGTTCACTAAAATTCATTTGTTGGACATATGTAAACATTTCCCCAATTTTCGCGTAGTACGAATTTAAGAAACTAAGAATTTAGGTTAGTTTTTTTATCATTAAAGAAAAATTGAATCTATTGTATACTATAAACATTAAAAAATCTTAGTCAATATTTTATTTGTCCATTGTTACAGACGTGAATAAAACAAAATCGAAATTTTTATTACATAACCGATGAGAGTATACCCCATTTTTTGCCATTTCGTCCACTCAAATTAATTACGGATCTCATAAATTAAATCCAGAGAGTTGGATTCGCTGAACATGTTGCGGTAAAAGAAACAGCAGATTAACCTTCATCACTTTTTTTGACAAACCTATTTAAAAAGTCATCAGGATATGCGACTTGAATCTGACTAAATGTTCGCTCGCCGGCTTCACAAAATTGAATCAAAATTTGGATGTGGAGCAAAAGCGTTTCGTTTAATAGAAAAACAGGTCGTACGGAAATTATATTTAGAATTAACGAAGATTTGCGCAATTAGATTTGTTCACAGCCGTACAATTTAGATCACTGCATTAACGTTTTAACCTTGACTAGTAAGTAATTTATACTACCACAATTTGATGAGCAGCCTGTTAGTATCAAGTGAAGAAATCGTAACAAAATACATCATACAACTAATTGCAAGTGAAGAAATCGTAACAAAATACATCATATAACCAATTGCACTAACACATTTTTATGTTCACTCGAAGGAATCTCAAAACTTTTAGATGGCAATAAGTCCATGTCAAGGAAAATTCCGGGTTATTAACGGAAATTATAGTTACAGGAAATTTTTTTAAGGAGTCATAAATACTCTGAATCGTATTCCTGAATTTATCCACCCTTGGTTTGCTATAAACAGTCACTTTTTGTCTGGATCAGTCAAATTGTTTATTTTTCGTGTGATTGGTAGAGTCCTCCCATCAATATACAGTTTTTCCAACCTTTTATGATTTTGACTTCGGCATGAGCTTAAGACCCTCGTGTTGTAAAGCGGAAGGGACCATTCTTTTCAGCACGTGTCCCACAAGCCAGGACCATATTTAAAATGACAGCCGACAAGAACGATGCCGTGCGCACTGTTGTATTTTGTGAGTTGAGAAATTTTCTTTGAATAAACCTTCCTAAAACAGTCCCTACTTTGGGTAGTTGAATTTGCCCATTAGGTAGGTTGCTCTTTTATTTTAAAAACACATTGGAAAGCTTAAACTGATTTCCAATTTAAGGATTTAACATAATGACCCTCAAAATTCCTAGGAAAGCAATACAAAATACCGAAGTACGGTTCTGGAACGTCATTGTGCAATTGCGAATCGGTTTATAGATGGTTACAAAGAGATATCCAAGCGGGATACGCCTGCGGTTAGTCTTCATAAAAATTTACCAAAGTTAAATGCCGGTTTATGTCGTAAAAACAGTATATGGTTTGGAGAACTCTACCTTTTACACCATTAGTATAGCACGTTATTTATTCGTTTTATACGACAGGAAAAGGCACGTGTACACTTGTTTACCTAAATTCCACTGTTTAAAAAAAATGGTATAACTTGCATAATTGCTTCCATCAGTAATTTTGGCGTAGACATGTGGAAAGTTACAAACAACAATACAAATATATCAGCCCTTTGCAGACCAAATCCAAAAAAAAACAATGGAAGCATCAGCATAGTTCGTATAGTTCAACATTTCTCGTTGTTCTTCACCCTAGCATCGTTTGCTTTCTGTCCAATATTTTCTTCAGTCTTCCGTACCTATTGGCCTCAATTATTCGCAAAATACATTGTAGTATTTATGAAAATTGCCTCGAAAATTCGAAATCATCGGTTCCCGTTGAAATAAAATTATAATGTATTTCTTAAATCATCTCTTATATTAAAGATATATCGGCAGCTGATGTAATAGCGTAATGAAAGGACGCAATTGGTATATGGCGATGCCGCTAAAAATAAAACGTCAACATCGTGATCGAGGCGGTTACTTGAAAGTTAAATTATCGTACATTGTTTTGCCAAACAATCGATAATGGTCGTTATGATAATTTCAGTTTCATGTAAACATTAATGCGGAACCGTATTGGGACAAAATTAATATCTGGGGGTGTGGTTTTGGTAAATCCGAGGTTATTTTCTCTCGATTCCAGTTTTCATCTAATTTTCTGATGTTTTTCATTGGTTCATATTTAAATTGTAAATACGATAGATTCGTTAGTTTGCCAATTCATTGCATATGGTGTAAAAATATTATTGCAATTTGTTATTACAACCGCACATAAAAATGAAAAATATCTTGATCGCCTATTAGAGTACTGCAAGAATACTTCTCAAAATTAAAGGATAACTAATTTAATTTTACACTCGCTTGCAGCATTTGAATAAGCATCAATCCCGTGTCAATAGCGAAGTAAAAACGATTGAATACAAACACTTTTCAAATTCATTGCATTCCTTAAATTGAAAATAAAGGACAGTATTGGAGGACACCTCTCTTGAACAAACATTTTTTTCTCAAATCTTATTTTACCTTACTAAAGTCGCTACCGTCGTAGTGATTGCAATAGAAAAGGTTCGAGCAATCTGATTTTCCGCATTCAGTTTTATATGTTTAGACAAGACATTAATTCGCATACGACCACTTTATTCCTGATATCTTGGATAATTTTCCCACTCACTCTAAAAAGCAGGAAAAAATATGTTCAATTAATTTTCACCGATTTTATAAAATTACAAAATTAGGTACAAACAGATCATTAAATGAAATAGAAAACGATGTGATTAATTTATTTAGCTTTTCTTTTTGTATCTTCAACATAGCAACAACAACAACATTTCGAAAAATTCTGATAATAATTCCCTCTTCCGAGTAATGCGTGACGTGAAAAAATACGAATATTTTCTTATTGAAATGTCCCAGTTTTTCGATATTTTTACAGGAAGCCGCACAAAGATACACAGACACGAGCTGGCGCATTTTCCGCCACCAAACAGATGACACGCCTCTACCTCAAGTAGACACAACACAAATAAATCGGCAAAATGGCGACCACAAAGGTAGCACGCAAGGGCTGTACGATTCCCTAACTCCCATAAAAGAAATAGCGGAAAACGAATGCGAAAATGGCTACAAAGACGGCCAAACTCAAAACACTAAACAAGTTGTCCAAATTGAAAGGATCGAAACCACCTACGAACCTATCCCCATAGATCTGGTAAGAGTCATGTGGAATGTTGGTACTAACCTGATAATTTTACTAACCCCAGTTTGGATTTAATTGTACACTAATTCTATGAACTAAACTCTAATTTAATTGGGATTGGGACGCATGTATGTTTATTTACCAGTTAGGACATATCCACCTAACAAATATAAGGAAAACCTATTGGTTTACTTAATTCGATCTAAATATTAATTATTAATTAGAGAACAAAAAATGGATAAAAGTAGAAAGACCACGAAATTCTTAATTTTGTATCATTGTGAATGTGAACAATCATTTAGTAAACAAACTACGATGGATTTTAATATTTATTAAATTATTATAAATTATAACCCAAAAGTTTGATCAAAAATATAATCCTACTTAAGTTACGTGAAAGGGACATTGTATTGCGCTATTTAACCTTTATTAATAAATGTCCAACCGATTTGTTCCAAATTTTGACATTCAACAAAAGTGACATACATAGTTATACCAGAGGGGCAAATCATCAACAAAATTTGCTATACCAGATTTCACAGATTTCACGCAATTTTGCGGACTTTACTGATTTTGAAAAATAATTTCTAAATTAAAAATTAACATACATAAAAAAATGCTACAGTATTAAAATAAAAATAATTAAATTAGTGAATGAGTAGGTAAATTAATCCATAAATTTTTAAACTGGACATAAAAATTTTATTTTTTTTTCAAAATTCTTAACTTTTTCTTTTTCTTCAGATTCAGAAGAAATATTTGCTTTAGAAGTTAGATAAATAAAAGAAAACTTGTGCTAGTACATAGTGTATGTTTTGAATTCGAAAATTTGAGGTTACACGGTAATTAACGTGATATTTTTAGGATATGCGCGATTGTCTTTGTAACTTTAATTACGTAATTTTATTTATAGAAAATGGCGTGTTTAAGACATTTAGGAACGAATTTTGATAATTAATAATATATGTTGATGAAATAATTAGTACATTGACAACTGCTAATAATTTTGACATTGGGTTGAGTGAACACTTATAAAAATCTAAATTAAAGATCCCAGCAGTAAAAAGCTTTTAATTTAACAATATTATTTCTCAAACGTAGCAACGGTCCAGCCAAATGTTACACTTGTTGACGCCGATCTACAAATAACTTAAAAATATTTATTTCATAATTGCATTTTGGCATTTTTAAAATTTTAATTTGTTTTAATTAATGTAAAATGTTCACACTTCAAGGAAACACGTTATGGTTTTAAAAATATTTCAGGGATTTTACATTTAACAAAGATTTCACAGATTTGACGGATTTCATAAAGACACGGTGTTGTCGAAACAATTGTCATGTCATAACATATAATTTCGTGAAAATCTGAACTTTTAGTTCTTATTTATTTTGGATTTCACAGAGCTGGTCCACCAAATTTTACGAATGATTTACCGCTCGACCATATCACGGCCCAAGCATTAATTCTTCAGAATTTGCAATGTATTTATAATATTTTTTAAATATATTTATGATATTCTAAACTTAATCATCCAACATACCATTGAGAGAAAATAATTGGATTATTCTAATCTATATGAAAAATCGAATAGTTAGGTATACATTGAAACTGTAATTCTAGTTCCTACTTAACACATATTATCTGCCTATTCTTCCATTTGCATTAAAAACTACACTTTTAAAACCGAGGAGCTTGTTTAAGGTCAACGAAAAAAAGTATAATAATGTATTGCATATGCTTTTAAATTTTATTAGCTAAAGTCGGTGATGAAATGGCTATTAATTACACAGGCCAACACATAATATGCCGGAGTATTTATAGCCGATTTATACACATTTGATGACCTGAATTCGCACATTGCATTAGTTTCGCGTTATGTGTTTTGACTCAGTCTCTTGTTCAGATCGAACTGGAATCTACCGTCATGTGCTTAACTCATCTTCTTTAGTCATTACCATTGCCTTAGTTTTCATATCTTAATTATATCTTTGGTGTACGGTGGAAGATCCAGGATGATTCTTTTTACCTCTGTTTTAAATCTTTGAAGTGACAGATCTTTTATGGAGGGTGGAAGTAAATTAAACAGTGTTATAGCTACACAATTATATAGGTTTTATGCCTATCTTTGACAGTTAGGTAGCCCGATCTTCTCGACCTAATAAAAATTAGACACTGATAGACAATCAGACCCTACAGGGTCGGAATCCTATATTCCCTGAATAGATCCCTACAGCTATCTCAGGGTTTGCGTTTACCCATAATCCTTAATGTGGTCTTTTGCATTTTAAATACCCGCTCCCAATCAGCAGAGCTCCCCCAAAATAGAAGTCCATATGCTATTCGTGACTGAAAATGACCAATGTAGGCAGTTCGAGATACATTGAGGGGTGTAATATCTTTTACTCTGCGAAGGAGATATAGTATTGAGGCTAATTTCTTTGTGAGTTCATTTATGTGATTGTTCGGCAACCTTTTGTCTAGATATTAACCCAGAAATTTCACGGCTGTACTCTGTTCACGTTCCTTAAGAGAAAAGGTTTTATTGAGATTGTTATCTGCGAACCAATCACGAAGTTTTTGTAGTGTTATGTATAAATTTTGTTTGTTTTGTCGCATATTGGACTGTTTTTAAATTTGGAAAGGAGGCTGGGAGTTCGCGTCCATATAAAATAAGCAATAACGGGCCTAAAATAGATCCCTGTAGGACACCCGCTATGACTGGTGGTAATAGATTTTTTTCAATATCAACAACCTGTGAACGATCGAATTGCGAATTGCCTCTCAAGTCATAGCTTGGCAGTTTATCAAGACCTATCTTCAAAATTTTATTACTAAGACCAAACACATTTTACTCACTTCTTCTGTACTTACTGGACTCAGGAACATTGAGACATCATTATGTATATATTTAGTTGTAGCATTGGATGGGCCTAGATCTGTTATTTGTAAGTTAGTGGTGAGGTTATTTGATATGTTTACTAAATAGGAGTTAAATTGTTCTGAAGTAAGCGAACAATTTAATACCTTTTCACTTTTATTTTCTATACTCTTTACAATACCCCATATTTCTTTTGATTTATTTGCACTATTCTTAATTTTCTCTGAGTAAAATTTAGTTTTGGTTAGTTAGTTTGGTTATCTTTATTTTATGTTTGTAGTCTTTAGCATATAATACAATGGTTTGTTCTATTTCTGCAGGAGAAAGGGTCGACTTTTTCAGTCTTAAAGCTACACAAATGAGAAGATCAAAACTATTGTGTCATATTCGTTTTTTTTTTTTTTGAGTTGAAGCCTATCGATTAATCCACAATAAATTAATAGCTTTTAAATTGATTAACTAGGGTTTCATAGACGTTTTAATTCACGTCTGCCTGATGCAAAGAGGATATCTAAAGAATTTAAAGTTGAAAAGCGGATTTTGTATTCGAATAGCTAAAGTTCTAAAATCATCGGCGGAAAAAAAATTCTTTTCCTGTGCTCTGAAATAGGAACTATGCGTCCTTTAAGATTCACTCTGGACTTTCGTCCTTATTTCACAGAAATGACGTTATTGTCGTATTTATATTTTTATTTCTACTATTGTGTTTCTTATTTATTTGAACTGGCGATATTCTATACGCGTAGGGAATAGGAAATAGTTCTATTTGGATTGTAAATAACTCGAGATTGTACCAACTGCATATAAGGTTAATCTCAAATGCGCTCGTTCCGAATCGAGCATCAGTTTTGTGATTTCCGGAAACTTTATAACCCCGTAACGAGATATTAACTAGATTGCGCAACGTAATTACTTGCGATGGTATAGTTAGGCGCTCATTGCCTAATTTTTAGGGGCTCGTAGATTTTAATTTATGTGCCGTTTAATTAATAATATTCTCCCGTAGGATAAATCCGTTGGCTCAGTTAAATTTTGTAGGTTGAAACTCCACACATTTTGACACTGAACATTTTGCCAGTAAGACATTCAAATTTTTTATTTATTAATTCTATTACGCGACTAATTTTTTTTAGATTTATGAAATTTTGGAAAAAAAAATGTCTATAAGTAACTGAAAGGCTTTTAATTGATTTTTTTTTATAAACCTACTAACAAACCTAGTAGCTAGTTTTGGGGATCTACAATTTGTGTTTTTTTTTTCTTGACTTTAATTTCAAATAAATTATGCCTTTGCATAAGTCGATACTATTCCCGAAACCCGAAGCTTAGATATTTCGTAATTAATTAAAATAAGTTGAGAAGAAAAAAATTAGCAATTAAAAAATGACTGACACCTTCCTTATTGGGCAACGTCCACACTTTATATGGATATACAGTTCTTGAAAACTAATTAAAACAGTTATGCCGCTTTTTAAAAGTTTATTTTTGATTCTTCTATAAGCCGGTGTAATGTTTCATGTTTCATCATGCAGCATTAGAAAATTGCGTTTGAAGCATTTTTTTATCAAGAATTTAATTTCCTGGCTGCTGCCTTAGCTTACTACTTCTCGGCTAGGAAATGAATCAAATATAATAATATGTTAATAATTTATAGAGAGATATTATTCCTTTTAGCAAATCAAAATTCAAATTTTTCAACAATAGGAATAACGCGCAGGGATATCATCAGCATCCCAACCACGTTGAGCGTTGAGTACTGTTTTGCCTACAGAAACTTAACACCAACATTATCAGTTCAGTTCATTTTAGCAATTAATCCAACAAAATCCAAAATTTTCAATTTCTAATGTAACACAAAACACGTCAATTTAAAAAAAAACATGAAGTTGACACGGGGGAATGATAAAATTTACCGACGAGCAATAAGATCGAGTTTTAAATTTTTTGTAATATTTTAAAAAATCGATTTAATGCATTTTTGAGGTAATGGGATTTGACTGAAAAAGCTCATTTATATAATAAAAAAAAATTAAATCCTTATAATTATGGTTCAGGATTTTAGGTATATGATAAAGCATAACTTTGTACCTTGACAGTTTTAGATCAAAATATAGAGGAAAAAAATTAACC